GCATTGCTGAGAGCTCGAGGTGAGTGCCAGGTACCGGCAAGGATGTCGGATGAGCCATGGGTTTGTACAGAGACCCTCCAAGACGACCCAGCCAGTCGTGGAGGTGGCAGCAGTAGCGGTGCGAGCTGCGCTCATGCGGACTGCTATAGGTGAGACCTCACGATTCGACGTACACGGCGAGTCCGTCGCACTGATGGCGTGGACACGTTCGTGATTTCAGGCAAACTACAGACGGTGTCGTGCGCCGTGGAGGATGAGTGGGTCTCCTCGATCCAGGTGCGGAGGTGCCAGTAATAATTGGAGAATGCGTGAGCTGTATGAGCTACACACTTGCGACCCTGCAGCACTATCACACGGGAGCATCGGTATGGCCCGGCGAATCTTCATGCATGTCGGGTCTGTCCCGCTAATCATGTTGTCCGCTTTGTGGCTAGGAGACGACCCGATAATGGCGGCATGCACGCCGAGCAGACCACAGGTACACTGGCATGCCACCTCGGTACAGATGCGGGGGTGCGAATGGCATCGTCGCGTGCTTGACGGAACGAGCGCGTTCGCAAAGAACGACGTCACCGCTCACGTTCGATTGTCGACAGGGTGGAGTTCAGCCAGCTATAGGACTCGCGACGAAGACGTTGGGTCTGGTGCGAGTTGGCGTAAGTGCTCTCGAGAATCTTGTCATGGATATGGGTTACCTTGAATATGTCAGATGCCATCCTCGGACCTTGATCGCTGTTCGCGTTGAGGAACTTGCCCGTTCGTGTCCATGAAGCTGTACAGACACGTTAGCGATCTAGTTTCCCAGCGCGCCTACCCGCATTGATGAATAAGGTACTTGCTCGGATGCACTCGTAGCAACCATATTGATCCTGTAGGGAAGTGCACAGATCGGGCGAGTTTCTGATGAGCGACGATGAACGATGGGATGCACGGGAGATGCGTACCGTTGAGCAGGTGGTGTACAGCTGAACGCGCACATGTGAGTATGTCGGGGCAGGTGGCGGTGATCGACTTTGGACGCGACGGTTGACTTGCATGCGCTGTCACTGAGCGCTCCTGAAACATTCCTGTGCCTCTGCTTCATTAGACCTCGCTCTAGATGAAATGTGCCAACACTTATCTCTGGGTGTGCTCCACTATGGCTAGGCGTCATCTGCTTGGAAGCTAGAGGGTGCGTAAAGAATATCGAGTGCTGTGTGTATATTCAGGCGGGTGCAAGTCATTTCACAGCAGCGAGGTGCAGAGGGACGGTGTCACCATCCTGGGAGAAGAGGGATTGTAAGGAGCAGGGGCGTTTCAGGGAATGATGACACAATGAGGGGAGGGGGAATGCACGGAGCTTCAAGTCCCTCCTCACGGCTTTCGTGTATTTCTAGGCAGAGACCACCCTCGTCAGCTCGAAA